GTCGAGACCAAGACGAGACCAAGACCACGTAAAAGTGGTCTCGAGACCGGTCTCGAGACCAAGACCGGTCTCGAGACATCCAACTCTAGTAGGATCTCCCATGGCAAATTGGTCCTGGGTGAGGGACCAGACAAAGAGCGATTCAGAAGACCCTTATGAAGAGAACATTGAGGGAACAGTTTACCCTGCCCGGGTTACCGGGGCCCCGCCCTGGAGCCAGGCCCGGGGAGGGTGCCCGAGGGCGAGCGTCTGGTGGCCGGGCCTTACTCCATGGGGAGTAAGGCCCGAAGAGGAAACATGGGCCCATCCTCCCGCAGGCCCACCACCCGCAGGAGGCGCCATAGGGGTTGGGTGCATTGTGTGCTGGGTGGCGGCCAGGAGTGGAGGCCCTGGCAGACTGATCCCCGGCTGCCAAGACTGGCAATAGGGACATGGAATTTCACCTCTCTGGTGGGGAAGGAGCCTGAGTTGGTGCGTGAGGTTGAGAGGTACCGGCTAGATATAGTCGGACTCACCTCTACGCATGGCTTGGGCTCTGGAACCAGTCTCCTGGAGAGGGGCTGGACTCTGTCTCAGGAATGGCCTCCCTGATCTGAACCCGAGCGGTGTTTTGTTATTGGACTTCTGTGCAAATCAAGTTTGGCCATAACGAACACCTTGTTCGAACATAAGAGTGTCCATAAGTGCACGTGGCACCAGGATGCTCTAGGCCTTAGGTCGATGATCGATTTTGGAATCATATCACACTCGGGTAAAGAGAGGGGCTGAGCTGTCAACTGATCACCACCTGGTGGTGAGTTGGATCAGGTGGCGGGGGATGACGTTGGACAGTCCCGGTGGACCTAAACGCGTAGTGAGGGTGTGCTGGGAACGTCTAGCAGAGGCCCCAGTCCGCTAGATCTTCAACGCACACCTCCGGCAGAGCTTCAACAGCATTCCGAGAGAGACTGGGGACATTGAGTCCGAATGGACCATGTTCAGCGTCTCCATTGCCGAAGCTGCTGCATTGAGCTGCGGCCGCAAGGTGGTTGGTGCCTGCCATGGTGGTAATCCCCGAACCAAATGGTGGACACCAGAGGTGAAGGGAGCCACCAGGCTGAACAAGGAGTCCTATCGGGCTTGGTTAGCCTGTGGGATTCCAGAGGCAGCCGACAGGTATCGACAGGCCAAGCGGAATGCGGCTCGGGCAGTGGCTGAAGCAAAAACTCGGGTGTGGGAAGCGTTCGGAGAGGCCATGGAAAAAGACTTTCGGACTGCCTCGAAGAGATTCTGGCAAACCGTCAGGCGTCTAAGGAGGGGGAAGCGGTGCTCTACCTGCACTGTGTATAGTGCTGGCGGAGCGCTGCTGACGTCGACTGAGAAAATTGTCAGGCGGTGGAAGGAATACCTCGAGGACCTCTTTAATCCCACTGACACGTCTTCCGAGGAGGAGGCAGAGTCTGGGGATGAGGGGAATGACCCGCCAATTTC